GTTAATAGATGCTAACTTATTTAAGAAAAGGTACAATAATCAGACTTGTATATCTTGACTGGTTGTTAATGTTCCTTGGTCTTCATCAACAATACAAGTCTGGTCATTAGATGGAGCAGAAACACTTTCCACACCTTCATTTAATCCCTCAGGTTTTGGCATGCTTATCCCCTCTCTTTCTCCTGATTTTTCAGAGGCCTTAGAGGAACCGGAAGCCTCTTCTCTTTTTTCTTCCTCTTTGGAAATAGCGAGTTTTTCTAGGGATTCTATTACTTCTCTCAACTCATCTTCAGATTCTTCAAAATTTCTAAAATAATAAACAGTGAAAATCAACATTAGGATATCAAAGCACTGAAGAATACATATGAAAACTAGCTTCCCTTCTCATTCCCCACCCCCACTTGAGCAATATGAAATTTAGTTAATAAATTGTTTATTATATCAGTCTGGTTTTTCTAAGGGTAATAACCAATGTTGGGAGAATCAGTCTTCTGTTCAGTTGCACTTCTTCCAACAACCTTTATTACATTTACTAATAACCATCTACTCTTATGTTTAAGAGGAGAGGAAGAAAGAAGAGAAAAAAATAATAATAAAATAGCTACCATATATTGAGACTTTACTATATGCTAGTCACTGTCCTGGGCCACTTACACAAACTATTTTTCATTTAATACTAATAATACTTTGAGGTAAACATTATCTTCATCAAATTATAAATAAAGAAACTAAGGCTCTGAGAGGTTGGTAAAAAATGTGTCCAAGGTCTCATCGCTACTAATTAGTAGAACCAAGAATTGAAATTTTGTCTCAGGCTGCAACATTAGCATTTTTAGAAAGGAAAAGATCAGGAGACTAAGAAAACAATCTCAAAGATCACTAATACATATAAGTGGTAAGTGAAGGAGACTGAGAAAGAGCTGGTAAAAGCCAAGAAAGTGTGTACCATTAAAGCCAAGGGTACAGACAAGACGAAGACTGAGAAATGGTGATCTGATTGGGCAATTTCGAGGTAAGAGATGCCCTTTGNAAGACGAAGACTGAGAAATGGTGATCTGATTGGGCAATTTCGAGGTAAGAGATGCCCTTTGAGAGAATATTCAGAGGACCACCATGCAGCTGGAGCCAATGTACAGTAGATCAGGAAAGCAACGGGAGGTGAGAAAGGTGACTCTTTTTCAGGGAGCCCAGCTCTGAGAGGGATGGTGCTATCTAGAGAACATAAGGGCAATCGTTTTTTTAAGATAAGAGAGATTTGGGCATGTTCATATGCTGAGGGAAAGGAGGTAATAGAAAGACATTTAAAACACAGGAGAAAGGTGGGATAACTGACAGGAACAAGGTCACTGAGAAGAGGTTGGGTTTTAGAGAACGCATGGAAGGATGGGCTTTCAGCAGGAAGGGAGACAGTTTTTCCTAAAAGAAGGAAGATCGGGAGAGAGAAGAAGTGAACTTACATGGAATAGAGAAGTTATGGAGCTAGAAAACTGAGATGATTCCACCTACAAACCACATACTATCTCTGTGAAGTAAGAGGACCAGTCACTTGATAACAGCGAGGTGGGTGAGGGTGAGCTGAGGGATGAGGGTTTGGAACGGCTGCAACACAGGGAAGCAAGCTGACCGAGCACAGCATGACCAGGCATCACACAGGACCCCACGAAAACCGGAGCCCGTAAATTTGGGGTGGACCAGTTAATCATAGTTCCCATTTATTAAGTTATATTCCTGAGGTATGTGCTTTATACGGATCTTCCCTTGGTTCCTCTGCAATTCCTTTTTTTTTTTTTTTTAATATGCAATACTTTTATTTTAGTCATGCAAGGAAAGCTATTTCAGAATTTAGTTTAAAGCAAGCAGCTGTGTATAGACAACAAAAGAGGCAACATTTTGTTACAGCTCAGCACACAGCATTCAAAGCAAACAGGCATGAGACAGGCATATTTATGTAGCATTAAAACCAGATGAATAAAATTGAGGGGAGAGGGATGGAGGAAAAAAGTGGAAATGAAAGACCAATGTTTCCCAATGCTTTGAATGAATGATGCTACATTTCTCATTTGATAGCATATCTAGGTGCTTCAAAAGCAGTGCATTACAGCAAGAATGGGAGGAATGGAAATAACTGATCTGTACATGCCTAGTACTAAGTTTCATCAAAACACATTGGCATAGGTCTTCTTTCAGTGGTAAACCAGTTCAAGCATCTTCTGAAGTTATTGTTTAATGACAACTTACTTAATTCAGGCTTTAAACTGTCTAAATATAAACAATTACTTATTTGGTACTTTTCTTTTTATAATAAAATATGCTGCATGTTTTATTAAAAGCACATACAATAGTGATCAATATTAAAGGTTTTAATATTCAGAAATATAAAGCCATAATTAACAAAGTATTAAGTATTTAAACGAAGACTTAATATATTAGAAACCCATAACTAGTAAAAAAAAAGTATTAAAGTACTGAAACTGAATGTTAGAATTTTTGAACTATATAAATAAACTCAGTATTAATACTTTGAAAGGGTTACTATTAGGCAACAGATATTGCAAAAGAGACTTTTCTGACATAGCTTTTAGAGGTTCTTAAAGGGAGTGTTCAATATTATTATATAGCACAAACGTGACTCAATAAATGTGGCACTACAAAGTTTCTTAAAAACTTAATATTTTAACCTTAAATATTATATAACAGTATAATTTTACTTTCTTGAATTATTTCCACATACACTTTTATGTGATACATTAGAACACATTAGTTCATATAGACTGTAAAATAATCAATCACACTAAATACAATTTCTTTTTTTTTTCTCCCAATATTTGAAGACCAAACCACACTGTATATATTATGGCACCGCTTATTTCCACCTAGCACTTCAACTATATGTATTTTTTTTT